CCCGGTCCTGCTCTGCCTTGCTCAAGAGCTGAGGTCAGTGTGAATGTCTGCTGATGGCACAGATATCTGAGAGATTTTGACCCCCCCAGGTTTTCCAGAACCAAATTCAGGAACAGAATCTTCCCCCTCTTTTTGTGACGGTGTTTTTATTTTGCTGAGCAGACAACCTCCTCGCTCCGTTCCCCTCCCCCCCCTGCTGCCGCAGCAGCTGAACAGGTAGAAACTGTCGTCAGGACGCAGCTCACACAGGAAACGCTGCGTCTGATCTCATCCGGTGAATGTTCTGTATCTGATGATGATTTTCTTAATAAAGACTCAAACTCTCTTCACTCTTCTGTTCTCACTGTCACTTCCTTCACTCCACACACTCTTAGCTACATCAGTACATAAACATCACACGTTAGCATCATTTCATAAAGACTTGCATACTTGTCCCTTTTCCCTGCTGGTGTCCTCGTCCTCTTCATCAGTCTTTACCCTCCAGTACGTTACTGAATCTAATTATTACATTAACAAATCAATACATTGATTTTCCTGATCCATCGTCTGATAAAAGCTTTGAAACCTTGAGGAAGAAAAAACTCTCAGATCAGTGATGGTTTATTCTTTATTAAGCACGAGAACACGTAGAGTCAGAAGCAGAATCAGTCAACAGGTCTGAGCAGGAACGAAGTCAAATCTCCTCAAGTATCATTTCTCTGACGGGGAAACGTTTTCCACTGCACCAGTGAGTCGCACCATCATCAGCCTGTAAATCCTATTTATGGTTCATGTCGTACGTTGTGCTGATGCTGCAGAACCTGAATCAGCGTTTTTTACTACAGCTCCTGACGGAACAACACCAGCAGGCGTCTGTTGATTTTAAAGTTGTTTTCTATTCATCTTTTTAATGAGGAGCATTAAACAAACTGGTGTCATGTCTCCGAAGCTTCTGTTATAGAAACACAGATGCAGACGACTCGTTGGTGCAGTGGATCCACTCGTCATCTGCTGTAACAGACCTGCTGCACCAGTGAAGACATCGAACTAAGACATCGAACTAAGACATCGAACTAAGACATCGAACTAAGACATCGAACTAAGACACAGACGTTTCAGTTTGAGCGTCGAGGCGACGGACGCCTCCGGTCAGAGTCTCGGAGGGGGGGGGGGGTTGCGATGCATTCAGGTGACAGTGAACATCCAGCTTCATCCAGTTTAATCAGTAACAACGTTTACATGGACACCAACATTCACACTAGTGACCTTGATCAGGATTAGACATTAAGTGTGGATCCTGATGGTGGACAATGATCTCAACGAGACTTCTTGATGTACGTCTCCTCTCGTATATAAATGTTGCACTGATTTGTGAATACGAGTAACGTGACTGACTGATTTCTTGTTTATAGAATATTCCATCAGAGTCCTGTTTACATGTTATAGAACAGTCTGATTATGATTCATGTCTTAATATCGTTGTTGTAACTTTCTGTCTTCACACTGAGGTCATGTGTCGTCCCCAGCTGTCGTATGTCAAAGCTCCAACATGTGGACATGATGACAATAAGGTCAGATTGCTCCACATGTCGTCATCAGATTGATTATATAAATATTTTAGTGACTGAGTAGAAATGTACTCAGGTTAAGTTAATCAGGTGAACGTAGTCGATGTTTTAGTGCAGAAGGTTTTATAGAAACTAACCGAAGGTTTCGAACGTGCTCGGTGTTAAGACTTTCTGCTGCTGAGGACGTGAACGTGATGGAAACCACACGGATGATTCAAGTCACTTTGGTTTGATCTTTTCTTTGGTCCTGACACTTCTGCAGGTGTGACGGATTCACGGAGCAGCACCTGAATGCATCACTGCACATTCATTGCTGTGGGGTGGGGGGGTGTGGGGGGGGTGTGGGGGTGCGCACAGGTTGAAGGCGAAGGTGGATGATTGGGTGATAGGCATTTGGTGGGCGTGTCCCAGCAGGTGACTGGCAGTTGGTGATTGGCTGTTTCATGCATCTGTGGTGAGTCTGCAGAGAGAATTTAAAGTTCTGGTTTTAACTGAAACTACAAACAAAGCTGTGATTTTCATTGTGACTGATGGTGACAGTGACTGTACCTGTCCAGAGGGGGCGCTGTAGAGAGGGGGCGGGCTGTCAGAGGTAGGGGGTGGAGCCTATCCTCTGCTGTTCGGTAGACGACTCATGCCAATCCTGTCGATGGGAGGAGGGTTGACTCGTCGCCGTGGCAACTCTGCGACTTTACTTTGAAACAAGAAGAATGAAGAGATAAACAACACTGCAGAGGAAACTGGTGCCACTTCAAAATAAAATAAACAGTTCTGCAAAATTCTCGTTTTCCTCCGCAGCTCATATTCTCAACTTTGTCTCAGGTGTGTCTCAACTTTGTCTCAACTTTGTCTCAGGTGTGTCTCAGGTTTGTCTCAGGT